ACTTTCAGCGTCATTAAACCGCTGCACCACCGCAGATTATATGCCTTCATTTAATTTCACATTTTTAAATTTTATTTTTATTTTACTTTCCATTTGTTTATGAGAACTAATACCCACTGAATAATATATATACATTTTAATGAAACCCATTTATCTATCTAAATCACAGAGTTTTATATGAGCAAACTGTAGTCTATTCATTGACTAGGTAGGTAATTTTAAAATCTGAGCATAACGATATACAAGAAATTCAGAAGAGATCTACATGTATTTGAAGTAATGAACCGCACAATTACATTTCTCTTCTCCTCTGCCCCTTAGCACTGATAGGTGTGAGTAAAAAAAAAAGAATAATTTCCCAGTACTGATTCAAAATAAACGGTAAGAATATGTAGTTTCTCCTTTTAAGCACATTTAAATCACAGAACCTTGTTTGTTTGTTTTATTTCAAAGCCGCCCAACTCCTCAATGACTCTGGGCGGCTTACAATTTAAAAAGGAAACAGCTGACTTGAAGATTATCATAAAAAAAACAAAAACCATACAGCCTCCACAACCATCCTGTCCCAAGGCCTGGGAGGACAACCAAATTTTTAACAGTTTGTGGAAACTCATTAAGTTATTAGGGTACAGAAAGTTATTAAGGTATAGGTCTCTGGTGGGATGCTATTTAAGCTTCTTCTGAGCTTTCTTTATTTTGACTCTACTTATATGCCCAAAGCTTGAAAAAAGAATGTATAAAAGCCACTTGCTGGCCCTAAGCAAACCTTCGCTCATGCTGATCGACTTTTCCATCAGCAGTGGAGAGGTGTTCCGACTCAGGACTGTTCACACGACGGTATCTCAGAGAGCGCCCCTGGGTTGTAGGGGAGTCTGGTGCTGCTCTCACTGGGGAGATGGGACACACACCACTTTTCTGATCTTCTTCTGCTAAACACTGCGTCTGAGATAGAGAAGGAGAAACCGCTGAGAATATAACAAATTCACAAAAATATACAATGTAGTGAGCATGATGCGGCCTATCATCTGACAGTGCTAATTAAACATCTGATTTCACATGCATCATTCCTTCACAGATTATACCCAGGAGACTGTACTAATGATAGTGCAGTTTTGGCCAAGAAAACATAATTCAATGAGATAACAGAATTCATGTTAAGTTTCAAGAGTTTGTAATAAGTCCTTCCTATCTTTAGCCCAGTAAAGACATACACAGCATATGCTGAGCACCTCATTTCAATGCAAGACAGAGCCAGTTTACATTAAACATGCTTTATATGTCTAAAAACTAATTTAAACGCTATTTTACTTAGTATATTGTCTACTCACAAAACCACTATTCTTAGAAAGAAAATGAAGAGGTTAGTGCACATTCAAAAAGGTCAAAAGGCTTTACTTTGCTGATGCTGATCCTGAGTTTGTTGCGATTTACATCTGTCTCTTCCCAAACTTCTCCTTCATTGAAGGGAACATTTGGAGCCTGCCCTAAGTTATTCTCTGTTGGCCGGCCAGATAAAATTGGGGGTGCATTCTCTTGGTCACTCAGGTGTTCTCCTTGCAAAACATCCTCTGTGTTCTCACGAAGTAAATCTCCAGGAACTGGAGTGATATTAACCACACTAAAAGGGAAATAATGTACAAACTTCAGATCAAAACACTAAAGCTTTAGAATTACTATTTCTCGCAGTTCCACAACCCAACCCATGCACAGCCAATAGTATGGATAATGCATACAGAGCACATTGCAACAGAGCATCCAGCTCTAAATAAGCCACCATCAGTATCTTCTCTTGAGGCACCACTAGATTCAACTAGATGGATGAAACTTTGTTCCCCCTCTTGCATTTAACTGTTGGAAAAGCATATTCCTTATTGGCAGCCTGGAAATCCTCTCCTAAGGATTCCATAATAACTACTCACCATACTACAGAATTTCTTATCCTTCAGTCAAAAAATGTACTCTTTGTTATTCATCATTATGATGGTTTATGGCAGGAGGGAATTCAGAAATATGGAATCTACTATAATGACTGTCAATATGATGTATTGAAGAACTAGTTATGGAAGAAGGATGGAGCTCACTGAGTATCCCTGCTAAATTTATTTTATTACACACACACAAACACATACACACACACACACACATACACTGGGATGCCTCTTGCTTGTTTTAACTTAAATCTTGAAATGTGGCTTATATCTATAATGCTTAGATTCTGACTGAGGTTTATGATCTTTTAGTGGAGCTGCCTTAATAGGGCACAAGGAAACCAGAATACATGGTCAATGATTTCCACAGAACTATATGTCTTGATATGCCTTGATATGTCCTTTCTCATTAGATAACTGTTATCCACTCCCACAACATATCCTTAAATTACTTTGGCAGTTTATTACTTCCTAGCTGTCTTCAGGCCTAGCCTGCAGATCCACTCACATAGGAAATATTCACAAACTCAGAGAATCTCCCCAGATTTAAAAATTAGAGAGTGAAGCAGCATATTGAGGATACCACAAATAGGGTCTGATCCTATGAGAAGAGTTCTGCTTTTTATTCCTGCTCATGGCAAAAGGTGAGAAGGTGATATTCTCCTGTCCTCCCTTTAGCTCTCTCCACTCCAAAAGGATGAGGGAAACGTTGGAGCAATTGCATTTCTGCATTCCAAAGCATAACCTAGATAAAAGTTCTTTGGATTTCTGAAAGGCTCCATCCATAAACAGTAGGACATTTTTGGATTCAATCTACTCATAAGAAATCAAGTATAATCAACATGTCAAACTCACACATAGCATTAATATTAGCAATATACCTGTATTCCACACTTCATTGTAGAAACATCTGTAGCTATAAACGTTGACTTTATATAAAGGAATTTGCCAGGGCACCAAAAGGCCCTGTTATGAAGTTCTCTGATATTGGTTACATGCTGTCTGCCACTCACCCAAACATGGCTGCAGTCTGCCTTGTGTTCTGCTGAGGTGGAGTGGATGTACTTGTAGATAATAAAATATCTGTACCAGCTTTCTCCCAGTCAAAGGCCTCATTCTCAGTAATTCCTCTTTCCTTCATGCTATTTTCAAACACAGTCATGATCAGCTAGACGAAAACAAGTTAGAATGGTAAGGTTCAAATGTTTATCCACAACCAGAAAAAGGAATATAGGAAGCCACTTTATATCAGATGGAGAATGATCTACTTCACAGATTCACAACTTGAGGCCCCAGGGCCACATGTAACTCCCAAACCACTGGATGCACATTCTAAGCTTTCCAAAAACTGTTCCGAAAGTCTAATTTTTTGATTAAATAGAAATGGAAAATCAGTATATTCTTGACTGAAGAGTAAGCATATTAACTATATTTTTATTAAACATAACCCTATTTCTTCAGCTTCTTTGCAGAGGCAGCATTTGCTGTCTGTTGCTATCTTCTCGATTCTGGCTTTATATGCATTTGTGCAGCCAAAATTAGCCCCTCTGTCCTTTTCTTCAACTTTCCTGCTCTTAGCCATTGCCAGATCTTGTTACCTGCTTTGCCTGCTAGTTGTTTTGTGTACTGGCCATGTAACACTTTGCCTTGCCATGTCTCTTTTCTATTCTTAATTCTTATAGGCCAGTTTGGACTTTTTGGTATTCAGTAAGCCTTCATGGTGTACTAGCTTCAGAGCATCTTCTTCACTGTCCTTC